CTTTTAAAGATATTTTATTTCAAGAGTTTTTAAGAAAATATTTTTGGAAGATATTTTCATTCTGGATCATTAGTGCAGTTTTCACTTTTTGGATGGGTCATTGTGCAATTAATGAAAGTTATTACAAAAATGCCTTGTTTTGAGCATGGATCCTCGTACGGGATTCATTTTCACTTTTTGTCGAGTCATGTACTCATAGAATTCCATTCTGGTCGTTTTTCTCTAGTTTCAGAGTTTCTGACCCCGGTTGCCGCAGAACTTGTTCGGGGCATAACTTTCTGTTCGGGACTCAGTTTCTGATGTCGTTTGTTCCGTTATTCATATTTTCTCATTTTGAATCTTTTTCGTTCACAGAGTTTTGCCGTTTGAGTGCGTATGCTCAAATTTTACTTTTCCAGACCCGTCGGGACCCGTTCGGGCCACTTTTTGAGATTTTCTATAAATAGGGGGACTTAAAGTCAAAAAGTAATCTTCTCCTCTCTCCATGCACGACCTGGATCTTCCATGGTCGCCCAAGGGGGGCTGCCACCCTTCTACTCTCATTTAAACCTCCTTCCCTTTGTTTTAAAGTCATAGTGCCTTCGCGGTTTGTGTTTGTCTTGACTACGCGCTTCTTTCACCCTTATTAGAATCCATTTTTGACCATTTCTTGAGTTCGGGTTTGAGGTTAAGTTGTGATTTTCATGGGGCTTTCTTGGGATTCTTGTTCACGGCATTGTCTGATGCGACCTGAGCGTGTGCACAAAATAATGCACAACACTTTGGTTTTGGAAATGGTATCAAGCGGGCATCATAGTTTACATTTATAAACCGCTAGACACTTATACTATGTAGTATGAAGTAAGAAGGGATCGAACCCAAGGGATTGAACATGTGTTGGGATTAAACTTGATTTTAGTGCTAATGAGATTGTACAAGAGAGAGAGAGAGAAAGATAGAGAGAGAGAAAAAGATTTTTGGTGAAGTGATTAAACTAGAAATCGAAAGCATGAAATAGAAATGACAATGCAACTAAATTAAACTAAGAATTAAAGAGATATGAAGAGAGTCTTAGGGTTAGGATTCACCACTAAGCTCATGCAATTAACCACATGCTTTCAATTAATGGGGAATTCATTAGTGTAATTATAGATGTAGCCATATTATCATCACAAATCACAATTGTAAGCATAGATTATCAACATCAAGAATGAGTTGTCTACTTAATGACAATTAAACTAAAGTGTCAAACCCATTCAAGACTACGTCATAACCCACCATACACATTCACAAATGTATCAAATAAGAGCACACATCAATCAAGAGAATAATACTAATTGTAATTAGAAGCATGGATTAACATAATCAAGCACAAATTGCCTACTTAACTACAATTAACTAATAACAAGAAAGCTAATTTGTAGAACAACCCATCAAGATTAAGCCTTTATCCATCAAATTAATTGACAATTATATCAAATAAGTATCATGTTATGGCCATCACTAAACACAACTACAAGAAGTATTTAATGCAGAATATAATCCTAAAGCAATCACACATAAAGCAATCACACATATAGAATTAATGAAAGAATTAAGTTCTAATCATCTAATGAAGAATAAAATCCCTAATTAATCATACATAGACATACAATCAATTGGAGATTTCAATGGAAGAATTCATCAATACAAATCCTAATTTATCAAATCAAGCATGTATATATAAAGAAATCACAAGGCCATATAATTTAATTACAACATAATAATTCCCCAAGAAAAGAAATACAAAGGTTAGGGTTACATGAACTTAGGGCTCATCCAAGCCCTAAGTGAAGAACTAGCTCATGGAGAAGATGATCACGGTGTCAACAAGCTCCATCTCCATCTTTTGGCTCCTTCTTCTTCTTCCTTCAATTGTAGACAAAGCCTCTGTAAAAATGTTCTTCAAACCCTAGCTTTTCCTTTTTCCCCCAGAGAGAACGTGATATCCCGGTACAGAAAAAAATAATAAAACTTAATAATAAAAAAATAAAACTCTCTCCTAAATAAAATAAAAACTAACCCTACACTAATGGCTCACTGGGCCTTAAGTAATAACCCTATTAAAACCCAATAGTTCACAAAATAAGCCCAAACAATAAGAAAAATCTGTAATGTTGCCAAGTCCTAGGGGATCGATCCCCCACCCTGGGGGATCGATCCCCCCAGAGTTGGAAATTTCCTTTAATCCCTATTTAGCTCCATTTTGGCCCCGAGCTCATTAGTTTGCTTCTTCATCTTTGGGAACATCATCAAAGATCGGAGATTGACCGCTTTCGAAGAATAAACACACTATACGAGCGATGGGCTACGACCTCTTTTTGTCATTTTCTGAACTTTTTCTGAATATCTTTGCTTGACTCCAAAAAGGCTTTAATGGACCGTTCTTAGCTCATTTTAACTTTATTACCCTGAAATACACATAAACATAAATTAGGACTAAAACATGAAATTAAAATAGATGCAAAGACTGAAATACCCTTGCTTAGGTGCTGAAATGTGCAACATTTAAGCACTTATCACACCCCCAAACTTAAATATTGCTAGTCCCTAGCAATGAACTAAAGCATGGAAATAAAACAAACATATATACAACTATGAACTAATAAAGCAAATAAAGATAACACCACTTTCGTAGGGATCACGGTTGCATTTAGTATATGCAACAAGCCTTTTAAACCCCTAGGATACCCCTAGTGGACGAGTGAAGTCTCGTGAGGGTTTCCAGTAATGGTACCCACAAACATCAAAAGCTCTTTCTTACTTGAGAAGTAACGTCACATATTAAACAAGTGTTGAAAGTAGACTACCTCAAGTATGCAAATTCTGCCATTTCTAAGCTATTATCAACATTTCAACATCATGTAAGCAAAAATGGTCCTCCACACATCAATCAATTAATCATGCAAATTGAATCAATTCTATCATCCTTTTTGAGTGAACCGGCATCAAAATGTGTTGCTATCCTAGCAAATCAAAGTATTAGCATAGCCTTACCCTCAAACTAGCATACAAATATAGTACCAGACATCAAGACATTGAATGAACCTTGTTATTCAATCAAACATTTTTTTTTATTTTTTATTGATTTCATTTTTATTTTTTTTTATTTTTTATGTATGACCATGTGCAATGTCCAAGTTCCTTAAGCTCTCTAATCACCCCATGTAACAAGCGTTGAGCCAACGACTCCCAAACCAGATGATCTTAGGGCGTTAAGTGTAAAGACACTCCTAAGGGCGTAATGACTCGGAATGGCTAGACTACGAACTCAAACTAATCATACATCTTACATTCTTTCCTTGTCTTCCTTTTTAATCAGTTGACATGTTGAAAGAATGCAGTTTTTTTTTTTTTTTTTTTTTTTTTTTTTTTTTTTTTTTTTTTTCCTCAACTTTGGTAAGTGCTTTTATTTCTTTTCTGCAAGGTCATTTTATCAAGAATGAAAGCTTTCAAAACATACTAGCTCAATTGGGATAAACTAAGACAATAATCAACTAAGCATGTACCGCACAAATTGAATGCTAGTGTGCGCAAGTGCAAATGTAGAATTCTAGAATCAACTCTCAAAGCATTTTCAATCAACAAGATGATGTGTACCACAAAAGCAAACATGATGTCAAAAATTAAAATTGACCCCTAAATGGCATCTCAGAGCATACAAGAAGTATTAGACTCTAACAACTTGTTTTTTAAAGGCACTATGCTTCAAAAGTTCGAAATCATTGCCAAATATATCTCAAATCTCAATCATGCATTTAAAACTCAACTTAAAGTAGAATGTAACAAGGTTACCTTACCCCCAAACTTAAACTGCACATTGTCCTCAATGTGCAATGAGAACAATGGAAGAAATGAAAAGAGTATACCGTGATGGCAAAAGTTTATGACGCCCGACAATGATCCATGATAAAAGAGGTCTCCCTCAAACTTGGAAGCCAAAACCTACTAGAAAAGCCACACTAGCAACTCACATCAAATATCAAATGGGATAAGTAAAGCATACATTCCAAAACAATATAGAACAAGATGTAAAGAGATATGATATCAAGCCCTTTGTAAAAGATGAAAACATGCATAACTTGTTGGAAATAGTGGCCTAGTTACACACACAACACTATACTATTTGGAAGAGAATAGAAATGGAGGAAAATATTTCTTATTTCACTTGATATATTATTTGACTAGAGTACATGAATATATAGGCCTCACATATGTATGTGTAACCATTACATTTAAATGTCCATAACTCTCCTATCTCCCACTAACATAATCTTCAATATGTATAACTCCCACTAACATAGTATTTGTTAGGCTTAACTCTCATGACTCTTTATTTTATATAACCTTAACTCACACTAAGACAATTTACTACCCACTAACATGCTAAATTAACACATGCATCATGAATACAAAAATACTTGAAAATACTAAATACTAAAATCAAGTTTATTTTCAACACCCCCCTTTAAACTTGATTTTGTAACTTGAAAAACCTTCTTATTAATCTTGGGGGCTTGATCAAAAGTTCGATAGTTGATCTTCAATTCCACCTCCTTCAATAGCTTCAATCTTCTTGGCCATTTCCATTGATGTGTAAGGCTTGTGAAACTTCTTCAAATGCTTGTTTGATGTATAATCATATATCATCCTCTTTATACAAGCACACCACCGATCTTTTTTCTTCTTAAATTTTTTATAGATCTTCAACTTCACATATACTTCTTCTTTAGAGTCAAAAAATAATTCCATATTCACCCAACCTGTATCAATTACAAAATTCTCCAAACTATTTTTTAAAAAATAATATGAGAATTTCTTATCATCCTGGGCTTCAATCTCATACTTCTTTGGAACAACTTTCTTTAAGAGAAGTTCATCATTCTCCACAAAATAAGCATTATTTGATGAATATGAAGAAATAATAATTTCATCAAATAAGTCAAATATAACTTCTTTCAAGGTGGAATTTGTAACCATACCTGAAGATGTTAATTCACCAACTTGAACTTTTGCCTGTTCTTTAGCACTTCCTTCTTCTAAATCTTCTATTTTCACTTCATCCTCCTTCACTTTTTCAATCTCTTCTTTAACACCTTTTCTTACCTCTTCCTTATTCACCATTTCAAATTCTCCTTCAACTTTTGAATCTCCAAAATCTTCAACTTCTTTTGCACGATACACCTCTTCATTCTCCACAACTTTGTCTTCAAGACTTTCATAATCATCTTTCGTAAACTCATCATTCTCAAAGCATTGTACCCAATACTCCATGGGTAGTGATTCACCTCTATGATTGGAAACGATGGTCTCGAGCATCTTCCAAATACAACTTGGAGTTTTGGACTCTCCAAAATACTCCCAAATTTCTTGATGTATTGCCTTTTGCAACACTACCAATGCCTTATCTTCTTTCTTTTCATGAAGCTTGTTGGACATGCCATTCTTTGGCTCTTCTCCAACAACATCCCACAAATCGCATGCTTTGAGGTATGAAGTCATGATGATTCTCATTCTCTTGTAATTAGAGACCATCATGTTTTCACTAAGAAAATACATTTTCTCCCCTTCATCATCATCAAGGAGAAACATGTTTTTCTCAAATGTTGAACCTTCTAGGATCAACTTCGTCTAGCCTTTAGGATTGTCTAGGCTCTGATACCACTTTGTTGGAAATAGTGGCCTAGTTACACACACAACACTATACTATTTGGAAGAGAATAGAAATGGAGGAAAATATTTCTTATTTCACTTGATATATTATTTGACTAGAGTACATGAATATATAGGCCTCACATATGTATGTGTAACCATTACATTTAAATGTCCATAACTCTCCTATCTCCCACTAACATAATCTTCAATATGTATAACTCCCACTAACATAGTATTTGTTAGGCTTAACTCTCATGACTCTTTATTTTATATAACCTTAACTCACACTAAGACAATTTACTACCCACTAACATGCTAAATTAACACATGCATCATGAATACAAAAATACTTGAAAATACTAAATACTAAAATCAAGTTTATTTTCAACATAACTAAGCAGAAGGGCATAACGGGGACACATATTTTTGAAATTTTTGTGATATATATATTTTTTTAATTTCAAGAATGGGATTGAGATACCCCTCGGATCTGAGACACGGGTTGATCAGGCCCAGGCCCAAACCCGATGGAATATCAAACAATTAATATTTTATAATGAACACGGAATACAAAATAAATTAAGAAATAAAATTAAAGCTGGAAGGAACTAAAAATAAAATCCGTAAAATATTATAATTATTAAAATCCATCAGTTTACAACTTGAGACTCCATCTCTAGTGGACCCCTATTAAACATCCAAACGGAAGATAGAACAACTGTAATAAACGTCCAGAAATAAAACTATAGAGAGAGCCCTACATCGTCGGAAGAGTGAATAGAGACCTCTGCTCAGCACGAACACGTCTAAGCCTGGAACTGTCGTGTACCTGAAAAAATAGAAGTGGGTCAGGCCCACGCGCAAGTTCTATACTACTACAATCCAAACAGAGGCCCGATACGCATGTACATCCTAAACAATTCAACAATAGCTAATAGTCCGTAAATATATATATATAGTCACACTAAAGGACTCTCATTGGACTACAGGCCGGTCTCAACCTGAATAGAGGTAACATGCTAAAACGCACACGAAGTGGGCATATGTACCTATACCTAAACAGGGTACACCTCCAACCATCGTCGCCAGCTACACATCCCGATGCATATATGCTCCCTAGCCATCGGTCCTGAGGCTCAAGCTCATACCGAGGCACCATAACAGTACATATATAAAATTCATCCAAAATCCCTAGTATTGCCGCTCAACAAGTAGTTGCCATGACAATACAAATCCACGGGACTTAACTTTTAGTTAATCCCATCCTTATTCCAAGTAGGTGGGTAATGGTATTGTTTTAAAAACCAAACCCATCCTTAGTATGCCACCGTCCCATACCGGTGCCTACTTTCCAATCCTCCAGTAATCAATAATACCAATAAATCAAGTATATATCAACTAAATTCCAACATCCAACATTCAATGTTAGCAGTGATAAAATAAGCATTGATAAACAGGGTCACAACAACAACATATACATGCCCAATTTAAGTTGTTCCCTTTAGTCTGATATAAAGACAGAATTAATTAAAACTTCCATTTAACACCTTACAAATGACATACAGATATGTAGGGTATGTATCACAAATTCCTAATCTCCACAGTTGATACTAACTGTGATAATGTAAGCATCAAAACAATATTCACAGTATGTATGTAGACATGCTCAAATTATAGTGTTCCACAAAACCGATCTAGTGTTAAACTCAAATCCTCCTAGTATTTAAGTTCCAACAGTTGCTATTACAGAAGTTAAGATAGCTATCATCTAGACCCATCCTTCCAATAATTTATACTAGCAGTGTTAAAGAAAAACGTGAACCACAGAACCACAATGCATCCACAAACATGCTTAGTCTAGGTTGAACAAGCATACAACACTACTGTAACTACCAGTTTCATAGCAAAATAGATTTCATTTTAGTTTGGTTTAATCTTCATTAATCCTGAAATCATTTAAGAGTGCAAAGAGTATGAAGCCTAAGGGAAAGAGTAAGGATAGAATCTTGCCTTAGAAACTTTTGTTCAAAGTTTCAACGTCGTCTTCTTAAAAAATCCCGGCGAGTTCCAAAACCTGGTTACTGTTCATGGGTACGAAACACTATTCCTAAACTCAAAATCTGATCTCCACCGTTCAGTTTGTGTAACACTGAGTCATGAACCTATCTGCCAAATTTCAGCTCGATCGGACCACGGACGAAGTGGTATCGGATGTTTGATGAAATCTGGGCAGAATGGAAAAAAACCTGTGCGACCCAGTTACTGTTCATGAGTACGAATCACTGTTCCCGAGGTCAAACTCTAATCTTCACCGTTCAGATTATGCGTCACTGAGTCATGAACCTCTCCTCCAAAATTTAGCTCGATCGGACCACGGACGAAGCAGGATCGGAGCTTTGATCAAATCTGGGCAGAATGGAAAAAACCTGTGCGACCCAGTTACTGTTCACGAGTACGAATCACTGTTCCCGAGGTTAAACTCTGATCTTCACCGTTCAGATTATGCGTCACTGAGTCATGAACCTCTCTTCCAAAATTCAGCTCGATCGGACCACGGACGAAGCAAGATCGGAGCTTTGATCAAACCTTGGCATAATGTGAAAAACTGCGTTTTTCCTTCTCCACTTCCACAAAACGTGTGCTTTGTTTAAAAAAAACCCTACACAGACGTCTACCTTATACTTATAGAGTTTTCCTAAACCCTAGGTTCATTTAAGTCCAACTCACAATCCTAACCGGCCCATCCAATTAACGTAGAAACCTACGACGGCTATAATATAAAACCCTAATTTATACTGTAATTAAAACCCTAGTTAGATGTATTTACCTAATTACCCTATTCACCATTAAATACTTAACAAATAATCTAATTGAACAAAATAATAATTAGTAAACCCAATTAAACCAAATAAGACACACATAAAATAAGACACACATAGAATAATTAAACCAATTACACTTAAACCATTAATGCCAATTAAATAATTAAAACACTAACAAGTAATTCCAATCAAATAACTAAACCAATTACACTTAAACCATTAATGCCACTTAAATAATTAAAATACTAACAAGTAATTCCAATCAAATAACTAAAAATAAATATCATTTAAATAAATTAAATCACCACAAAAGAAATAAATTAAATCACCACAAAAGAAAACAATTAAGCACCTAATAAAAAAAATAATGACACATAATCAAATAAAATACACTTAAATAATAAATTAAATACCATTAAATGCTAGGAATATCCTTTTTAAAATTAGGGGTATTACAACAATTGGAAGTATTGTGAGTATAACTAGAGCAAGTCATGCACATCACACTTTGAGAATGGAAAGAGTTGGATGATTGAATTGCCGGGTTTTGGCTCGAAAGAAATTTATCGAACCTTTGAGTAAGATTTTTGACTTCGACGGCAATTTCCATGGAACTCTCTACTTGAGAAAGACTGGAGGTTTTCTTCCCTCCTTCATTCAAATTTTGGCCAAGTCGGGACGATGAAGAACGATGCATTGAATTTTCGCTCATGCGATCAAAAAGATGCCACACATCGTTTTCATTTTTGTCCAAATAGGATCCTCCACATGAAGCATCAACCATACCTTTTTGGGTATCAGATAAGCTTTCATAGAAGCAGCGAACTAACTGCCACTTTGGAATGTCGTGATGTGGACACTTCCGTAGCAAATTGTTCAAACGCTCCCATGCTTCATGCAAAGGTTCTCCCTCATTTTGAGAGAATTCACGGATAGAAGTTCTCATAGCATCGGTTCTACTTGGGGGGTAAAATTTTTTTAGGAATTCATATTGTAATTGACCCCAAGATGTGATTGAATTTGCCCTCAAGTTATTGAACCAATATTTAGCCTTTTCCCGAAGAGTGAAAGGGAAAAGCTTCATTTTTAAGACTTCTTCCGGAAGGTCCGTGATTTTCACGATTGAACAAACTTCCAAAAACTCCTCCAAATGTTTATGTGGTTCTTCATTGCTCACCCCATAGAAAATGGGGCACATTTGGATGGTTGCGGGCTTGATTTCATAATGGGTTGCCCGAAAGTTTGGCAACCGGATGCATTTTGGTGCATTGTATTCATTTGGAGTGTAGTGATCCCGAAGAGATAATTGAGGATTTAGGGGATACACTACATGATCTTGAGGATGGATTGGTATTATTGGAGGTTGCTGCATTTGATTGGGTTGTGGAAACACATTAGGATGTGGAATTCTCAAGGGTGGATGCACACCTTGAGGTGGATGCCCATTAAGAGGGTGATACTCACCTAGATTATCCATATGCCCTAGATTTTAGAATTAGTTTTTCATTAAATGTGGGATAATCAAGAATGGGAAGAATTCTCCTAGAAACAACAAACCACAACAACAATCAACAATAATTCACCACCTCCACATACGATGGTCCCATACTCTCATGTTATATCAATACACAAAATTAAATTGCCTCCACACGGGCCGATGCTTTTTATCAAGAAAGTAATAGCCTCCTTTTAGGCTTATGCTTGGAGAAGAATTTTTAAAAAAATGTGATAGCCTCGACAAGGGCTATCTCGCAAGCATGTAGAGAATTGAACAATTATAGTAAAATAAATTCAAGA